CATCTATCCACCTAGACATTCATCTATCTACCCATACATACATCCATCTATCTACCCATACGTCCATGAATCTATCCATCCATCCATCATCTACCCATCCATCCATCAATCTATCCATTCATACACACATCCATACATAAATACATCCATCCATCCCCCCCAGTTTGTCCAAACATCCATTTACATTCACCTTCACACCGTCAGGGAATGTAGAGTTCACCTAATCCCAATGTGCCTGTGTTTGGAATGCATGGAGAAAATGTATTGCAGACGGAGGGAGAACATGCAAACTCCCCATGACACACCAATATACAGCCTCAGCCACACCACCTCCTGCGTTTAAGTTCTCTTTAAGTGTTGCCTGCACAGTCTATGGATGTTGTGAAGCCCAGTGAATGTGGCTGCTACACACGCAACCAGAAACAAAGTAAATAAGTACAGGAGGGCCAAAAAACAATCCAGCACGTTGTCGTGCAGCCTTGTAAAATGGATCAGGTGCACCTCTTGGTGTCTAAGCCTGTCAGACGCTTCGGTCAGTAAAAAAGATTCTCCGCCTTCAAAACAACACAGAAATCTCCGGAGTATTCAGTCGAGGCGGCCAGAGGCTCTGTGTTACGTTTTAATTCTGCTGCAGAGATCCCATGTTCAATCTTCGTCAGTGTTTTCTATACGTGTGGCACTGCTTTTTCATCCTGAGATATTTGTTTCCTTTCTTTTTTTTGTGTCACATGTTACAAACTTCATCAACCCGCACACTCACAGAATCCTTTGGAAGATCTCCTGCTGTGTTCTCCCAATGGTCTCCCTCGGACACTCTGCAGCCTTTTTACAAGAAAGGTTCCGCAGAAAGTCACTCTGACCTTTGCATTCACACACACAGCCCCTGCGGAGAATGTCCGTTGGTTCTCCAGAGTTCAGCACACGTCTTAAAGCAGCTCAATATTTCATGCAGCAGTGTCAAGCTGTTCCGGGAAAAAACAGCAGATGGCAGAATGTGTCTTAGAATGACAGTGATAGCGGGTTCCCTCAAGTGACTTACCTTATCATCACATACTGACATTTTATTCACAGCTAAGAGGCATTACATACAGGAGCAAACAGAGGACCAATCTTCCAATAACAATTCCATCAGAAATAGTTGGATTGGAGTCTTATATGTTGGGGTATCAGGAGCTATCTGAGAAGTGTCACTGCTCCGTGGCATTGACTCTGCAAGTGTCTGGACTCTATTGGAGGACGAACACCAATCTTTAAAAACATAGTCACTTGTGTTTTGATGCTGGTGGTGGAGAGCTCCGTCGAACACATCAGTTCAACACCTTCCACAGGTGACTGCGTTGAGATGTGGTGACTGTGAAAATCACAGCATCTGATTCACTTCATTGTGTTACTCATTAAACCACACAGCGAGCTCTCATGTCCTCTGAATGTGGACACTGCCACCCAAGAAAGATTGTTTAAGGTGATCACTCAGAACAACTTTGTATTGATTTGCGGTGAGCTGGTAACACTGGACTTTATCAAAACAGTTTATCGTCATGTTTTATTTGACAGAATTCATTAATAGTATAAATAAATACACCATGTATAGCAGATTTTCTTGAATTCCAATTAAATAATACTTGTAATTAACAATGTTTTCTATTTCTCTCTATTCACCTATTCCCAAAGAAGACCTTTGAGCCAAATGTCCACGCTGTCAGGAAAAGCAAAGACGAGTGAGTGATAATTCCAGTCTCCTGTCTCATAATGATAAAGAGGAGTGTACTTTTTGTGTATGTCTTGTTTAATGCTTATAACCATTGTTTCCAATTTTGCCCAGGTTAAAGGAAAAGATAAATGTGGCTCCGAAAAAGGAGAGAAAAGAGAGGAATGAGAGGAAAGGAGTGAGGGAAAACAGAGGGAAGAGGAGAGAGAGGCCTCGGACTATCCAGTCTCACTCCATCTTTGAACAGGGTCCTGCCGACACTGTATGCAAAACAGGTGCTTCTCTTCCCTCTTCTTGACATCTTCTTTGTGTATGGCTCCTGAGATATTTGTTTTCTTTTTGTGTTTTTCATTTTTGCCTCTGTTGCGTTTTAGAAACGTTCCCACGTGGAATAAGTCCACAGCCTCCCGTTCAGACATTTGCGTCCTCACACGCAGCCCATCCAGAGTTCAGTGCATGTCTGTAAGCCAGCTTATTAGAGGTGCAGTTCTCCTTCCCTCACCATCAACCCCTCTGTTCAGGCTGGCGTGGTGCTACAAACCCGTGTGACTCCACCACCTCTCCTGTGTGTAAACTGGTGAAGAAAGAGAGGAATCCTTCAGAGGAGGATGAAGATGAGATACTCAGCAAACTGCAGAGAGATGATGTGAGTATCTCCTGCTAGCTGCTCTGCCTCATAAGTGGTTCACACATTTTTTAAACTGTCTTAAAACAATTGTCTGGCGTGCATATGAACACTGAGATAGATTTTAATTTGTAGAGGCGTCTTCAGTTCTGAGTTATTTTGCATTTAGATAATAACACAACCGCAAAATGTCTCTTTGAAGACCCAGAAGAAAGAGTGGAGAGTTGATATAAAGTGGCCAGTTGGTTATTTTTCTGACAGCTTTTGTTCTCCAGGAATAAGTGCTGTCTTCAATTAAGCTTGTGTTTTCATGAGTTTACTTTAAGAAGTGGCATTTCTGTCTCTTTTGTTGGATGATGAGTTCATATTTTGCCATTTTACCTCGACAGTTTATCTCCAGAATTTTATAACAGGCCTGAGGAAAATGTTCAACTGTCACTCCCTTCTGTCATTATGCCCTTGTATTTAAAACTATTATTATTAGCAATAATTCTAATAATACTAATATTTTATTTGTGTAGCGCTTTTCAGAGAACTTTACATTAATTATTCTCTCGAACTTAACCATGTGTACACGACTCGTCACATCGTAACCATAAGATCAAAGTTCCAATTGCAGGCAGCAACAGTCTCAGCTCATTTGTCTTCACAAGAATGTAGGTGTGATTGTTAGCTGCACAGCATTAGCTAGTTAGGACAGTGAAGTCATTATTATTGCCATCCAAGATAACAAACCATCAGCAATAACTAATCAGCTCATAACTAATATCATATGTTGCACCTCCTACAGTTCATAGACGATCCAGATCTGAGGAACGATGCCAATCTGAAACCCATCCAGCTGCCTCTGTGTCAGTCCAGCAGCTTCAACACATGTGAGAGAGAACCACTTTGCACGACCTCTACTGTCACTGTCTGAACATTGTCACTAGACAGGCCTGTAAGCAAGCTGCTCATTTCAGTCTGGACCTTCAGGTCAGTGTTTAACCATTTACTGGAGAAAAAGACTGGTAGTTTGACACTGTTCAGGTCATACTCTCATGCATCAGAGACATTTGACACAGTCGTTGACTCTCCCTGAGTTCACAAACTGCCCTGGCACAGCCTGAAATATCCCACATTTAACAGACACAAACACAGTACATTCACCGAGCACTTAATGAGGAGTTTATTAGGACAGTATGTCTCACACCATGACTTCCTGTAAGGGTTTGTTGTTGTGGTGTTGTCAGGTCCAGAGAACCCTCCTCTGTTCAGACCTCCGGCCTGTGGGACGGAGGTTAGAGCCAGCCACAGCAGGACAGAGGTGCCCAAACAAGAGCAGCCTTCTCTGGTGGAGCTGCTGCAGGATCTCAGGCTGTCTGGCAGAGAGGAGTTCTTCTTCATGCAGTTACCCGACTGTATGCCGGGTCAAGCATCTGAACAGAAGGCGGCGCCCCCTGTCAGACCTGCAGCACAGAAAGCAGCCAGGAAGGAGGGCAGACCTGCAGACAAGAGGCCAACACATCTACAAGCACAGGTGAGTTTACTGAAGGACACTACATTTGTGCTGTTACCATGGCAACATGCATGGATAATCTGTAGATTGTGTCGAGCAGTTCAGAAAAGTATTCTTGTAAAAGTATTTCCTGCCGTTATTTATCAATCCCTGAGGTTTTTATCAGTGCTGAGGGATTATTTTAGTATTATCTCTCCTTGCTGAGAACTATTTTTTTTTACTTACTCACAGTTTAATATTTCTGCTGCAATCCTGATACAACGGAGCATGGGAATGTGTTTGTTGTGCTTGACACCGAATTGCAGCTGCTGCACATTTCAATCTTGAATGCTAATATCAGCCAGTTACTAATAGCTTGTGTATCACAGCAGGATTTGATGAAGGAGGGCTGTCCTGTGTTGTCACAACTGCCAGAGGGATTTCTGGGTAAACTGCAGATCAGGAAGTCAGGAAAGGTGGAGCTGAAGATGGGTGACATTGTCATGGATGTCTCTGAAGGAGCTGCGTTCTCCTTCCTGCAGGTACTTCTCAAAACAACACAAAAATACATGAAAAACGTGCTTAACGACTCAATTGAAAAAATCTACCATGCAGTTTTTCCGTATTTGAGTAAACATTTCTGAAAAAGTCTGAAATCCATTTCTTCATTTAGGCTTGGATGACTGTGACAAAAATGTGTTGAACCCACATCAAACCCTTAGCTCTAAATAAACCAGCTTTGCTGTTACCACATACACAATGTCTAATTACCCTTAAAACCACAAACCATCACAAGGCTGTCACATCAGTACTGTCCCTGATGAAAATGCACTTTTTTGTCTATTAAACAGAAGGGCTCCTCCCATTTGCATGTTCCATGTACACACACATCCACTGTAACAAAAGCTGCAAACGTCGATCAAAATGAAACTAGAGCAGTGGGTGACACACACTAATGGTGGTGTGTGTGTGAATGGGTGAATGTCACTAGTAGCATAAAACTGTGGTATTAATGCAATTCATTTAACATTCACAATTTACAAAGTTTATTTAAAGTAAATGTATTTTTATATAATAATCAAAAGTGAATACTACATATAAATGTGTTTGTATAAGAAACATTCAAAACATTTAAATACCCAAATATGTAAACTATGTAATATGTAAACATAAAACTCTTCAACTATTTTAGGATAGGAATAATCTTTTCTTTTCCTTCCTTCTGCAGCAGCTGGTATCTGTGCATCTGTCCGATGGAAAGACCGGAGACATGATGGTGTTGGGAAATGTTCATCAAAAACTGGTCCTATCCCCTGACTTCCACAATTTACTGAGCCAAGCTTCAACACAGCAGCAGACAGAACCCAGATAATGTTCTACACAGACTTAACAGATCTGAAGGTCTTTACATTTTCACCAGATTCCTGATCCACTGGTGAGGAAAATTGACATTAGACAAGTCGTTGAACTCTTCATACCTCTGCATTGAGGATTCAAAGGCAGCTACTTAATTAGCCAGTTTTTATTGTTAACATGTTATTATCGTGAGTCACTCTTTTTGACACTGTTAGATGTTTTGATGAAAATTGTGATGTGGTCAAAAATACATGGTGTCAAACTCAAACCCCTGATACACAAGGATTCAGCCATGTGCTGTTACCTAAGCACTGATTCTAGATGGGCAACTTGTCACTGAGAGGAGGGCGCTGCGTCTCTTCCACGCACCAGCACAGAGCTTCAGACTGCCTGAACACCATCCACCAGCAAAAGGCAACATCCACTTCATGTAGCTGATTTTGGTCTGTTAAAATATTGATTCAGAAGAAGTCATTAACCAGAGAAAGATCAAGTGAACAGTGAAAGTGGTCATCATTTTCCCTCAACACTAAGATCTGTTTCATTTTGATCCACGAGTTCAGCTTTTGTTACAGTGGGTCGTTCTAATAAAAAGCCCTCAGCAGTAAGTTTGTACAGTATGTAAAGTTGGCCCCATGTCATATTTCTATGATGATAATACTGTGACTTTAATGTTCCATGCCTGTCCTTGTCAGGGGCTCAGACTCACCTTATTATGCTTTAGATAACCTCTTAAAAGTCACTCTATTGTCTGCCAATACTGGTCATTTTTTATGTCTATAGATTTTTGACATGTTCTACTGGTGTTCTTCAGTCTTTTATTGTTTGATACGTGTAATGTTTTTTCTACACTGGTTTTGAAAAAAGCTTTGCAAATAAAAGAAATCCTTGACATTTAAAAATGCACTCAAATTCATTTCTGCCTTGTATAGCCCCAAATCATTCCAGACATCATCTCAAGACAATACTGCAACATGAACGATGCCGATAGAGGATGAGCCCGGTGTTGCCGTTTTGGAATCCCGGAACATTGTGGCTTTCAAGTACATTTTTAGAGACAATGAAAGGTGGGGATCAGTCGACAAGCAGCTACTACAATGAGGAGCAAGATATTTTGTTCAGTGTTCAGGTTGTGGATGTCTACTTCCCTCTACCATGGTACATTGAGTAAATGCGGACCTCAAGTTCTCTCAGCCCATGTGACTTTAGCCATCATACAGGGCTCAACAACTGGTCACAGTCACTTCTCCAAATGCATGTACTGTATATTGCTTGTGTTACTTATATTTACATATCAATAGCCACAAATGCAGTTTGGAATCAGCTTTTCCAAAAACCACCAATGTCATAGCAGTTTTAAATGTCTAATCAAATTAATTTTTGTTTGTATTAAACTGTATGTGAAAGTTAATACACAGTACAGAGAAAAATAGCCTGTCTGAATATAGAAGCATTAAATACAAAAACAAATTGGTTTTCACATTTCTGATCTGGCATGGAATGAACTTGTTTGTACATAAAGGATGTTTTTGTGACCAAAGTGCTCATGACGTCATACATCATTATCAGGACATAACAGTATTTTCCACTCAAATCTGATGGAGTGATGTCAAACCAAATCATTTGGATCAAAGTGCTACGAAGAAAACACATTTTATTATGAACCATAAGATGTTTTACAGCTGTTAACAGAACAAAGAGCATCTCAAATGAAGCTTGCATCATTTGGAACTTTTGTGTTTAAAAAACTAAATATCAGTTGGTATTGTTACTTATGCCTTATGTGTCTAAAATCTGGATTTGAGTTTGACATTGTCACTGTACAAGCTTAAGCTACACTAACTGCTATGATACAAAAAGTTCAGTCAGGTTATATTCATGAGAAGTGCTGTTTGTACATGGTTATAAATCCCACAGAAAGTTTTTTTGTCCATCTCTCAACTGTCTCTGAAATACTTAAAGGGATAGTTCACTGAAATTTAAATTAACTCTTTATTTACTCACCATTAAGCTGAGGAAGGGGGGGGGGGGTGAAGTGTGTTAACATTTTTGCAGTCAAATCAAATACAATTGAAGTAAATAGTGACCACTTCTTCAACCAGAAAAAAAACAAAACACAAAATGCCTCCATACTGCTCATGTGGTGTCATCCATCTAAATGTCCAACGTGATCCACATAAGAACATGGCTCTGGGCTGAGGATATCAGGACATTTAGGCTAAAAACATGGGGTGAATGACTGTTTCGATTTGAATTTCAATGTCGGGGCTTACGGACACTTGAATGACACCACACAAGCTGTATGGAGGCTTTTTTTTTTGTTTTTCTACATTTGAAAATGTGGTCACCATTTAATTTAATTGTATTGGTTTCGTCTGGAACACAGTTTACCCCTGACACTCCAAAACAGTTTCGTGGACTCAAACACTTCACCCACCCCTCCCCTTGGCGTAATGGGGGAGTAGATAATGAGGGAAATTTCATTTTTCTGTGAACTATCCCTTTAATGTCCCAGCTCCAGTGTTTCCAAACAGTATTATAACAAAGTGACCAGTGACCGGCGGTTTGATTTACTGATGCTTTTTCACCATGAACAATGTATTTGTGTGGAACTTTTAAAGCCAATCATCTCCAGTGGGAACAAATGTGCAGACAGGAAGAGCTGAGACAAACACCGTTTTGCACTTTTCATTATTGACAAGATAAAAGAGAATCACAGTAGACATAACACTCGGTATGACGTACAAAAAACAGGAGAGAGGCGTTGTTGGGACAGTACCCTTAACAGTGGAGACTTTTAAAGACTGCAGATGGAAATTTAGCACCTCGCTCAAACGTCTTAGCTTATAAAATCATGACATTTCAGAACTCACATTTTCAGTCTGTTCCACTCAACATCATTCAACCGTTCAAAGCCATATGGGTTTTTGTTGAGTGGCCGAGAATAAGCTCACCTTGTACCTGGTCCATTCCAGCGCTCAGGTGCTTTCAGGTGAAGTGAAATTAATGACAACTTGTAACTTCATGACTTTCAAGCTTGAAAAAGAAAAAAAACTGGGGGCACAGTCCTGGGTCGTCAGGTCTCCTGTCTTCATGAACACCTTCTTCTCTAGACTCAGTAGATACGAACATCTTATCTCTTAGTGGTCGTCCTGACAGTTGAGCTACTTTTTGTTGCCTTCCTGGTTGCAGTAGACATTCCTTTGGCAGTGGCCTTCTTCGCTTTAGCTTTCTTGGGTGCTGCGGCTTGAGCAGTTTTTTTCCTGGCAGACAGGGTCCCCTCTCGGATCAGGTCTTCTCTTCCAATTTCCAACATGTGGTCCTCCCATGATTTCATCTCATTCTTATAGCGAATTTTGTCATCCTGCGCCAGCTGTGTGTAGACCTGAGATGTGGAAGGAACACAGAACATCTGCATGAAAGCCTTTGAACTAGATAAATGAAGAATATGTAATGAGTGTGGGGCTAACCTGTTTCTGGTGGCTGAACATATTCTTCCAGTCTTCCATCAGTGACTTCATCTTTATCTGAATGAACATCAACGGCAATATAATATCAGTGACATGTGCAAAAACAATGGAAATTATTTCCGCAACACAAGCACACAATCATATACCCATCAACTGGACCATGGCCCAGGACAAGAACGATGTTTAACACCTCTTCCACTGTTTGGTGGTGGAGGGATTCACTTTAACTGGACAGGACATACAACTAAGAGGCTGTGAAGAGGAAGGGACAAACCCCAACCCCACTGTATGAGGAAGCTCAGGTCTTTGAATGTGTGTCTTCTATCAGTCTGCTGTGACCAGTGCAATATTCTATGCTGCAGTCTGCTGGAGCATCAGAGACACCAACCAACAGAACAGTGGCTGGTTCTGGTTCTGCACAGGAAGCTGAATAACATGGACAACATCTCAACTCCACCACCTGCTGCTCAAACAGCAGAGTAGTGACAGGCCACATTCAGGCCTGGCATTTTTTTCCATATACAGCTTGTCCAAACTTTGTCTTCCAGTTTCAATTAAAACAATCCAACATTAGTTTTTAACACAAATAAGAGCTTGACAGGTCGCACAAGCAGCAGGTTGGGGTAAGGAAGTTTTGTCATCAAGACTGTGGTTTCAGTCCACCTTTTAAAAATATTACAATCCTAAACAATAATCATATACTGTTAAGGGCATATATAAGGCTACTTATTCTGCAACTTGTGTTGACTAACATAAAGTGTAACTCACTAAAAAGTTATCAAGTTGCAGACCTTTCATTAAGCACACACGCACGAACGCACACGCCCACACATACACTTACTTGTGTGTTGTCTCCCCTGGCCTCCTCAAAATGCTCCGACATGTAGATGTTGGCTGGAGAGCGAGGACGTTTAGGCTTCCCCAGGTTGGTCAATTCCTGAATCGCACACAGGCAAGAGCCACACTCATTGTTCCACAATGCTGATGTGTATAAGGTGTAGTACTCACAGTCATTGCTGACCAGAGCTTCAACAAGACAAGACACTCTCAAGTCACACGTCTAGATAATTTGGTTATCGTGACGTGTTTCTATGAGGCTTTAGATAACAGAACACCCTGATCTGTATTTGTTGCCCAATATCTTACTCTCTTCTTGCGTATGGCCTTCCTCTTGGCCATCCTCTCCTTCTTCTCCAGGGATTTCTGCTGGATCTGTGCTGGAGTCAGCTGGGCCTGGTAGCGTTCGAAGTCCACCTTAAACTTCTCCTTGGCCAGCTGAAAGGCCTCTTCAAACGGCTACACAGGAAAGAAAACAACTTCAGCCACAGACATAGGTGTAGTGACTGTGTGAAAACAGTACATGTTGTGCACTGTGTTTAACACAGTGATTATTTGCTTTGTGCAACCATTAGCTTAAAATGTATGAACCAAGTGGACAAGGCTGTGAAATTTAAACATTAATCCAAACATTTTTTGGGGGAAAGGGTGTCGAGCAAAGAGCTATCAACTTGGGAAGATTAAAGCTGAATAGTGTGTCCTGTCAAATTGATTCAAACTTGATTTTTGGAAAAGCAAAAGCCGTACTAAGGCATGAGAAAGTACCCGTTTCTGTTCTGGGCTCATCGTTCTCCACTGCACGGCAATCTTCTTGATGATATCCACAAACTTGACTTCTAATGGCATAAAAAAAAAAATCAAAAAAAAAAATTAACAAAGGTAATCGACAATAAATTATTTTATTTGAGCTGTTGACTTAGTATAGAAAAAATCTAATTAAAGGGACAGTTCACTGAAAAATAACTGAATTCTCTGTTTATTTACTCAGCACTATGTTGATGGAGGGTGGGTGAAGTGTTTGAGTCTCAGGGGTAAACAGTGTTGCAGACATAACCAATACAAATATACGACTTGAGACGTGTCATTTACACCACGTTTTGGACTTGGATGACACCACAGGATGAATGTTATGTTTTTTTCTGTTGTTTTATTACGTTTGAAGAAGTGGTCACCAGTTACTTCAAGTGTATTGGATTTGGCTGCAACGATGTTTACCCCTGAGACTCCTAAAGAGTTTTGTGGACTCAAACACTTCACCTTCATCGGCATAGTGGTGAGTAGATAATGAGTTAATTTTTGGTAATAATATCTCTGTAAAGCAGCTGCTGTGAAATTACAACACATTTTAACACCCTTCACACTACTTATTGTTAAGTACTATGAAGTTTTCTGACAGTGCAGCAGGTTTAGGAAATCTGTCATTCTAGCTGCTGTCTACATTTACCTGGGTTTTGTCTGGCCATGATTGGCTGCTGTTGCAGGGCGAATCTAACGAAGCCATTAACAGGTCTCTTTGGCGGGCCGCTGGCCTGGGAGGTAAAACATTTCACTGGGAGGACACTGGTACACCTAGAACATACATGTGTGGACACATACATAAACATATCATCCATTCTCTCCATTGGAGAGAACTTCACACAAAACTCCATTTACAAATGTGGCAAATAATGATGTCTACTCAAGAGCATTATTTCTAACGTTGTATTTAAAGGTTCAGTGTGTTGAATTTAGTGGTGAAGTTTCATGTTGCAGCTGAACACCCCTCACCTCACCCTCTCCTTCAAAACATGAAAGAGAACCTGTGGTGAACTTCAGTTGTCTTAGAAACTCAAAAGGTGTTTAGTTTGTCCAGTTTGGATCACTGTAAAAAAAACATGGCGGCCTCTGTAGAGAGGACCCCCTCCTGATGTAAATATTAAATATAAAGGGCCCATTCTTGGGTTAAGAAAGTTATATGAAACAGACTAGTAAGAACATTGCTAGGATTATTTTATATTCAATTTCTGCCAATAGATCCCTCTCACCTGAATCTTACACACTGGACCTTTAGATGCATTCTGCTAATATTCCACATAGCAAAGTAAATGCTTCTCTCATCCTCATATAGTTATATATAGATATACTATGATGCTGTTCATTCAGTGATGCTGGATCACCTTCAATCAACCTCTGTTACTGAACACCACACAGCAATAAACTGCAGGACACTGAACACTACTCATTCCAATACTGTCCCTAATCACACCTGTTTTACTCCAACACGAACATGGATTAACATGTCTTCTTGTTAAATGTTAGCACAAATATCCTCACAACCATTTAATCAACTCGAATAAATACGACCAGCTACTTAAATGCACGAGTTCGAACTGTAACTGATAATTTACACTTTCAACCTCACGATTGACTCGTGCGGTAATTCACTAATATTTGCATTTGCTCGAATCGAATCGTCGCACACGATGAACACATGCGCTAACTCCCGGTCCGCTGAATGCTAACGCTCGCGAGCTACGTGCTGTTAAGTTGAGTGAGCAGGTACAGAGAAACTTTTAGCTTAGCTACCGTGCCAGTGAGTTCGTGCAGGACCAGAGGCTGAAGGACTTCGCCACCAGGCTAACACCTGCTGCCAGTAAGCTGAACGGAGCCATGTCGCTGTGGGTCAACGAGAACGACGAAACGCGGAGGATGGGGTTCCACAGCGGCAGCGTGCTGGTGTTTTCATGCGTTAATGTTTCAATGAAGCGGAGCCTCCTCCTTGTTGACAGGCAGGGACAGCAAAAGGCGCCTTAGCTCTCTGCCGGTGCATTGTGGGAAAAGGTCGACCCCCCCTCCCCTCCCCAGAGACAGCTTAAAATAAACCTTCTTCTTCTTCTTCTACCTCTTCTTCTTCTACCTCTTCTTCGTCTTCTTCTTCTTCCTTGTTTAATTGCGAGTTGAACCTATTATTTAACGTGCAATATCGCCCCCTACCTTGCTGGAGGGTCAGGTCTGCGGAAATACATACATTTAAAGGTCCAGTGTGCAAGATTTAGGTGAAAGGGAACTATTGGCAGAAATGTAATGTAGAATAATCCTCATGATGTTTTCACTATTTAGTTTCATCTAAATTGTATGAATTGTAGTTTTCTTTACCCCAGAAAAATACCTTTATATTTAAATACTTTATATTTTAATACTTTATATTTACATCGAGGGGGTCCTCTCTACAGAGGCCGCCATGTTTTTTACATTAGTCCAGACTGGACAAACTAAACACCTTTTGAGTTTTTATGACAACTGAAGCTACCACAGGTTCTTTTTCATGTTCGGAAGGAGAGGGTGAGGTGAGGGGTGCTCAGCTGCAACATGCAACTTCAACACTAGATATCACCAAATCCTACACACTGTACCTTTAAATAAATAAATACTTGAATCCTCGTCATTAATCCCGTTTCTTTTAAAAACTCAAACAAGGCTTTAAATGTATTGTTTTGTGTAATCCTGTGTTCTAATCTTAATCTTGATATGACTATATGCTCTCTGGTCGTTTTCATTCTCCCACTTTTTGCTCTATTTGATATAGATGGCGTCCTTTTCCTCCCTATTCCCATTGTTTTTGCTATGATGTTACTCCTAATTACTATTTTAACGTCGGCCTCAATGAAGTCTACCTCCAAACTCTCTGGCAGATTCAGTGTTGAATCTGCCGTTTCATTACCGCCAACGCCCACATGAGATCCACATGAACCTGATTTCTATTTGTGTCTGATGTAATCTGAATAGTGACTCGTATATTTCATACAGTATAGCTGCTCTGCTGTGAGATGACATGGACTGTAGTAATACCAATGCTGAAAGTAAATCTGAACATACTATAACCTTTTTTATCTAATTTTGCTCTGTCCACTGAAATGCTATTGCCAACATCTCAACTGTATATACTGTTAGGTGATCTGGTGTTCTTTCCTTCATATTTATATTTGCTCACTTTCCTCGAGTTGAGGCAACGTTGAGGGGAAACAGAGGAAAGAAATCAGTTCAACCTTTCTTTCTATTTTCCTTTTGTTCAAATTAACTGCACTAGTGTTTGTATGTCACAAGTCAGAATAAAACTATAATTTGTCTCAGAGTAAAGTCAATTAGAACAACACGACTAGGATTCAGTTGGGGGGATTATTGAAAAAAGTACACAAACTTACTATTTTTCATTATTCTGTCTGCTCTGTCTCACACAGAGCTTCTCTTTCCTCCTCTCCCCCTTCATCACTTTAATGTCTCGTCAATACATGTTACTGACTTGACTTCTTCCCTGGAGTCCTTGTGCTTTATCATTTGCAGATCGGTTATTGCTGCAGCAGCCACCACGGTGGATCGTACATGGTGATAGTGGTAGCAGAGGAACATGGATCGTGGTGGCAGCTGATTGTGGATTATGATTACAACAAATTCAGAACCAAAAAGTAGAATGATAAAATATGGTTTATTAATTATAAGGTCACTCAGTCCCAAGTCCCTACTCATTAATGATCTGATTACTGACCATCAGATTGATTTACTGTATCCTTTCTGTAACTGAAACCTGGCTGCAAAATTTTGAATATGTAGGTTTAAATGAAGCATCACCCCCCCACCCATATTAATACTTATATACCTTGAAGCCCAGGTAGAGGTAGAGGTGTCGCAGCAATCTTTATATCTGACTTATCTATCAACCCTTGACCTAAAGATAGTTATAACTCATTTGAGTCTCATAAACCGCCTTGTACATCCGACCCTGAAATCACATAAACCAGTTTATTATTATATAGCGACCACCTGCCCCTTACTCTGAATTTCTATCAGAGCTAGTTCTTAGAACAGATCAAATCATTATATTAGTAGTGATTTCAACATTCATGTAGATGCTGCCAAAGACAATTTTAGTTCAACATTTAATTCATTTATAGACTCAATTGGTTTTAATTAACATGTGAATAAACCCACTCACTGTTTCAATCACACTCTTGATCTTGTTCTGACATATGGCATAGACATTGAAAATGTAATAATATTTCCCCCAAACCCTCTTCTGTCTGACCATTTTTTAAATTACATTTGAATTTGAAATGATTAAATACACTGATATGGAAAGAAATTCTATTAAAGTCGGTGTTTAACTGTGAACAAATTTAAAGAACTGCCTTCTTTGACATTAACATCACAGCCATGTGTTAATACAATACAGGAAAGTTGTACAAATTTCACTCCCACACTAGTTGATAACTTTGTTAGTAGTAAAGCAGCCTCATTAAAAACAACCCTTGACGCTGTCGCGGCGCTAAAAAATAAGAAAGTGAACACGAGTGCTGTCAAGAACCAGAAGGAGAAATAATATTACCTGTCTTAGCTTCTCTACATTGGCTCCCTGTAAAATTCAGAACAGAATTCAAGATCCTGCTCCTCACATATAAAGCCCTAAACAATCAAGCAATCTTCATATATCAAAGAGCTCATAACACCGTATTATCCCAAAAGATCACTTTGTTCCCAAAACACAGGCTCTCTTGTGGTTCCAAGAGTCTGTAAGAGTAGAACAGGAGGTCGAACATTCAGCTACCAGGCTCCTCTCCTGTGGAACCAGCTCCCACTCTGGGTTCCAGAGTCTGTAAGAGTAGAACAGGAGGTAGAACCTTCAGCTACCAGGCTCCTCTCCTGTGGAACCAGCTCCCACTCTGGGTTCTGGAGGCAGACACCATCTCTGCATTTAAAGTTAAAACGTTCCTCTTTGATAAAGCCTATAGTTAGTTCTGGATCAGGAGAGTCCTGAACCATCACTTAGTTATGCTGCTGTAGGTCTAGACTGCTGGGGGAACTCCCAGCCCAAAGAAAAAACTGCTATCAAGGTTCTTTGTACCTTTTAGTGATAATTGATATAAGTATTAATGACTACACCTTTGTGTCAAATTAATGCTTGCTACATCATCTAGGAGGTAATTACAAATGAGTTAGAACAAAAAATATCAAAATAAATGAGACCATGTCAATACAACAAGATCACATAAAGATACAAAATGCACTGTGATAAAAATGTATAGACCATAGTCATGATAAAAAACCGTACCATTCTTTAATTCAGTACAAAAGGTGCCACAGGGGCCTCAGATACAAGTGACAGGCTGTTTACACAAGAACAGAAACAGGATTTTTTTTTTTACCCTTTCTATAGCACAGATCGATATGAACAGAAGAGCATGTTCAACCTGTAGGAACATGTTGGCCTGGGTTAAAAATCTCATCTATGTACCTGTGTAAATCCAACAAAAATCTAATGTCACAGCTTCTCCAAGGCGA